GATTTCACAAAAAAACGCTCACTTCATACCGGTACACCTGGTATATATACAGGGTGTCCCAGGGAGACCACCCGTCTCACCCGATTTTTTTGTAAACGCGACAATTTATAGAAAAATGTTTCAGACAAAAGTTTTGTGACTTCGAGGGGCACATAAGATGGTGTCATTGGTTTGACCTTGGATAGTCGTTTGAAGATTACGTGAAGGTCACCTTTAATTTCTTAAATGGAAACCCCCATTTTTCAATGCATATTCTTGTAGCTTACCTCGAGAGCTTTCCAAANGTTTGAAGATTACGTGAAGGTCACCTTTAATTTCTTAAATGGAAACCCCCATTTTTCAATGCATATTTTTGTAGCTTACCTCGAGAGCTTTCCAAAACGCTATAATGAAACGTGTTTTTAATCAGTACTTTTCGATTTAGCCATATCTGCCTATCCATTTATCTGGAAATATTTCGTTCGACCGTTCACGGGCAACTCTAGATGTATGCGCTGGACATCCATCTTGCTGGAAAAACATGTTTAGGCGCAATTGTAGAGCAATATTTTCAAGCAAGGGCGGAAGATCATTTTCAATGAAATTGGCGTACCGAATACCGTTTAGGTTCTCTTCAAAGATATGCGGTCCAACGATATGTTTTCCAATAATTCCGCACCAAACATTGACTTTCCAAACGTGTTGATGGTCAATTTCTCGGAACCAATGAGGATTTTCTTGTGCCCAATATCGACAGTTCCATGTATTTATAAAGCCGTCACTTGAAAATGTGCATTCATCAGAAAATAAAATTTTCTGATGAAAGTTGCGCGATTGTTGACGAATCCAATTGCAAAATTCGAATCTGCATCTAAAATCGTAAATCGTCAATGCTTGAAGAGACATTCTGTACGGATGCAGCTTGTTTTCATGGAAAATTCGCCAGATCGTGCTGCGACTAATTCCAGAATCTGTTTCTGTACGTCTTAATGAATGGCAGGGATGCAATTGAGCAGATGCAAGAATCTCCGGCATCCTTTCATCTCTAACTTGGCGTCGAATTTGTCTACCTTTATTGTGATCCGGTTGAAGAATACGTTTATTGGTAATTCGGTTAGCTAAGCGAGAAAAAACTTTATACGAATGAGAAGCGCGATCTGGGTATCGTCTTCGCCACAATCTTGCAGCTGCTCTAAATTGACCATAACATTCACTTAAAATAAGCATCATATCACAAGCTTCCTCGTTTGAATACCACATGGCTAATAAATGAGAATTTTGTTACACCTTACGTGACAGTATCAAACATGTCATACATCACGATTGGGTAATGCTAATGCCGGCGTAAATTTCAATCCTCGTAACTAGAAAAGTACTGATTAAAAAAACATTTCATTATAGCGTTTTGGAAAGCTCTCGAGGTAAGCTACAAGAATTTGCATTGAATAATGGAGGTTTCCATTTAAGAAATTAAAGGTGACTTTTACGTGATCTCCAAACGACTATCCAAGGTCAAACCAATGACACCATCTTATGTGTCCCTCGAAATCACAAAACTTTTGTTCGGAACATTTTTCTTTAAAATGTCGCGTTTACGAAAAAATCGGGTGAGACGGGTGGTCTGGGACACCCTGCATATGTGGCGGTTGAAACAATCGGCAATAAAAACAACGGCTGTTCGCAAGCGTAATTTGTTTTTTCGTATTTTGTTTCGTGATTAATATGTTCTTCGGCGTCCCTGAGGACCCCGGAGCGTTCACTCTTGTTTGATACCTCAAACGTCGCGGACGCGCTCGCGAGTGTTCCTCGCCACCGATTCTCTTCGTAATTTGTATTCGACGCTCCGGTCTAGAGACTCTATTTGACTGCGCCCCGTCTCTCGCAAACGCGCGTTAGTGCATCGCGCCCGGGAGTGCAAATATCTTTCGTCGTAAAAGAGCCTTTTCCGACGGCCTTCCTCGCGGTCGACGCCGTCGCGCCCCTTGTGCGCGATTTCCTTTCCGTGCCTCTCCCCGCGAGTGAGAGTGAACCGCCGCAGCGACCTAGCGAGCAGATATCCTAGCGCAACGCTTTCTGTATTAAGCATTCCCAATTTTATTTAAAGTTGCGTTTTTAGTTTATAGAATCCCGTTCCTTTTTTGTGACGCGTTGTAAGTTTTATAATTTCTTGTAAATACAGCGTTTCGTGTGAACAGTTATAAAGATTCCGCATTTATTTGCGCACACACCAGCACTGCTTCCGCTCACTAACTTTTTCTTAATAGCGGCTTTCCCTAAATATATATACAAGGTCTGTTCAAAAAGTATCGCGAATTTTAAATTTCCGCGGGTTAAGTATATTCGATTTTCGATTTTTTTGTGGTGTTATGTTGGTACTCATATCCATCATTTATGCCGACAAGTTGGGCCATTTTGAATATTCAGTTTATCTTTGACAGCTGTTTTGCTTGGACGTGTTTTGGCTCGTCTTCGATTTTTGCCTGTTCCAAAAAATGGATCAAAGAATCTGTATCAAATTTTGTGAAAAAACAAAATTAAGTGCGCGGACGCATTCCGAATGTTGACTGTGGCATATGGTGAAGCTACCTTAGACCGAAGCAACGTTTATCTGTGGTACAATATGTTCTCAGAGGGCCGAGAAGATGTGAACGACAAAGAGCGTGCCGGACGCCCGAGCACGTCAACAACAGACGAAAACATTGATGAAGTGAAGAAAATAGTATTGGCCAATCGTCGAATCACTGTTAGAGAAGTTGCTGAGGACCTAAACATATCGATTGGCTCATGCCATTAGATTTTTACTAATGATTTGGGCATGAGACGGGTCGCCGCGAAATTCGTACCAACGCCCCTGCTCACACATCGTTGCTTGTGCGCGAATTTTTGGCCAAAAACAACACACTAATGATGCCGCAGCCACCGTATTCCCCAGACCTAGCCCCCGTGACTTTTTCTTGTTCCCGAAACTGAAGAGGCACATGAAAGGACGACGCTACGCTACGATTGAGGAAATAAAGACGGCATCGAAGGAGGAGCTGAACAAGATCACAAAAAATGATTTTTGAAGTGCTTCGAGGTTGGAAAAAACGTTGGCACAATTGTATAAAACTTGTTGGGGATTACTTTGAAGGAGACAAAATAGATATTCATGAATAAATAAATAATTTTTGAAAAAACAAAATTTGCGATACTTTTTGAACAGACCTCGTATATATATATATAAAATTATAAATAATTATAAATTATAAATAAATTATAAATAACTCTAACCAAAATTCGAAGATTAAGATATTGATCTATGAATAAGTATATCAGTAATTTTGTATACTCTTCTCACTATATCAGTAGTAGTTAAAGCAATTTTTTTTGTGTATAATTAAAATAAAAAATGCATTCTGCCTTATTATATAATAAATAGATAACTTATATATACATAAGTCATATAAGATAAGAGGAATGAGTATTGAGCATCTTTTTTAGACAAGCTGATAATAAAATATATTGTATACACAAGTGATAGAATTGTTTGACGAGGTGAACGAAAGTCTGGGATCATATACATTCTCAAAATGGATTAATAGATTTATAGAAGATTACACAGGCCGACAAATTTTTGACCCAGAGACCAGACCTAACATACCCGAAGGATATTGATGCCCTGAATCCGAATCCAAGCTCAGAATTGCTTATATACGTCTGGTTTTTTAGATATCCTAACCTAAAAGTGCAAAAAACGCGTTTTTTGCTGTTTTTGAGGTTATGTAACGGAACAAGAAATATGCTAATCAAAAAACGTAGTGTAATAACTGAAAGTACTACCCTTTATCTTTCAAACCTATTAGGATTTTTTCAAATATCTATTTTTTTCACCAAAGTATCGCAATTTGAAATTTCACAATTTAAGGTATTAACCCATCTACAAAAAAAGTCGAAAAAATTCTGACCGGGACCAGACTACGTTGATCTTATGTTTTTGAGATCGCTGATTCCGAATCCGAGGTCCGTTTCACCTCATTAGGTCAGGGTTTTTCGTACACTCAAAAAACAACCCCTACCAAACCACAAGCAGGCTAACTCACCTGACCGTAAGAGTAGCGAGCTTAGTCGATTATTTCTTTTGAAACAAGTCTTATTTTTTTATAAATCGGATAATCAGCCAGTTAAGGCAAGACTTGGCATTGTCTAGTGAATCAAGGCAAAATTTGGGATTGCCCAGCCAATCAAGGCAAGATTAATTGCTTTTTCTTTTATGAAAACTTTTGCGCTTCATATCAAAGGATCGTTGAAGAGACTTTCGTTTATGACTAGTAGGGTCATTATCTTCTCTTTTTAATGACCAGCAATAATCTGCCATCATTTTTTCATCCCATCGATCTTGATAATGTTGCTCCTTTTGATGAAAGTCTTAATGGAAACGTTCGCCCAATTCTTCACTAAATGCTCCGACATTATCCGGGAAATAGTCCAAATGACATTTAAGAAAATGTATTTTCATACTCATCAAACAACCTAATCCTTTAAAATTCTGTAACATTGTAGACACAATAGTTCTAAACTGTGGATCTCGGTTATTCCCTAAAAATTTCTCTACTACATCTTTGAAACTCAACCAAGCATCCTTTTCAATAGATATCATGGTCTTGATAAACTCATCATGTTTCATAAGCTTTCTTATGTCGGGCTCTACAAAAACATCTTCCTTAACTTTAGCATCACTTAAATGCGGAAATGTAGATCTGATATAATTGAAACATTTACCTTCGGTACTTAACGCTTTCGCATACTGTTTCATTAAACCTAGTTTTATGTGGAGTGGTGGCAATAATACTCGGTTTCTATCCATAAGACTTTCATGAGCAATGTTATAATAACCAACATTCCACTCTAGTCTTTCTGGCCATTTCTCCGTTATCCAATGTTCATTCCTGGCACGACTATCCCAAAGGCAAAGAAAACAAGGGTATTTAGTGTTTCCCGATTGTAAACCAACTGCGAGATTTATCATTTTGAAGTCTCCGCAAATAAGTTAATTATGAGTATTGTATTTTAGTTTTTCCAGCAGAAATTCGAAACTGTCATAAGATTCTTTCAGTGTAATTGAGTGACCTACTGGAATTGCAGCGTACTTATTTCCGTTATGTAATAATACTGCTTTTAGATTTACTGTGGATGAATCTATGAAAAGACGCCAGTCCTCCGGCTTATATAAATCTATTAGTTCTTCTATATCGTTACAATAGACAAGCCCATTTTCCATTGAAAAGTACTTAATAAGCTGCTCTCATCTTTTTCTGTAGACCGTTACTTTAGTGCCAGTTAATAATAGATTCCTTTTTTTTGAGTTTTGAAGCACAAAGCTCAGCTTTATCTTTTGGAAGATTAAGGTCACGTATAAAATCGTCTAATCCAACTTGCTAAAAAAATTTGGGACCTTCATGACCATCACTGTCTTCACAATAAACATCTTCAGTTGAATCGATCTCATCAGTATCCATTGATTCGTGAGTTGATAGAACAACTCTGTCTTCAGAATGACTTACAGTACCAATTTTAGTTGGTGTTACACTCTTTACCTTAGGGTAAATGATTTTGTTCAAATATTGTTTAGAAAAGCCCTTTGTTTGACATAAACAAAAGTAACAATCTGTATCGTGATCCTTGGGCTTATGCTAAATGGTTGGTTGAATAATACCTTGACCCTTGGTACTTTTATTTTCCCAATATAACAAATGCAATCTACAAGTATTACAAATTGAGGTTGGTACCCATGGCTTATACAAATTTTTCATCGACGTCCCATAACATTTAACGTATAAGGATTTTATCGAGTCATTAATTGATCGACGGTCACGTACGGTTTCATATTTTCCACAAACATAACAAAACGTATTAAGTTTATTAGCGCA